AAACAATTTGGTCTATGGCGTCTATGTGTTAGAAATTGAAGAAAACAACGACAAATTAACGTCGATTTTCAAAGCGACTATTCTCTGGTTTGTTTTTTAAGAAGGATTGTTTATTCATGATGCTTTTTGATGACCATTTTGCGTCTTTTTGATATTTTAATTCCAGTTGAATTGCAAAGAAATTAGACTTAAAATTGTAAAACAATATACAATTGTGTTACTTAAATATTTGTTTTTTTTTCAGGTTTTTTCGTGTGTATTACAATACACATTTTCCCTCTTTTTTTGACTCAATGAAATTATATTTCAAAACGTAATTTTTTTAAAACATTTTAATCAAAAACATTTTTTCAAAGAAAAAAACGATGTTTTTTTAAATGTTAATAGCTTGAAACTGTGAATTATTTCAATTTAATAATTACTTTAAAATGTTTAAAAAAACGAATTTTATAAATATTTAAACAACGAAAAACTATGAATATCAAAATGCGTGGACTTTCTGGTTATCACATCATGATAGTCTCGAAGTACTTCGACACTATAAACGATTTAATTAACTTGGAATTGGTATGCAAGAAGTTTGGTGGCAATATGGAAAAGTTCCATTCCAACCCAATTTCGTTAAATTCCAAAACACTTGGATACTTCCCAAACATTGAGACACTTCATTTGTGGGATGTGAAAGATGAGAATTTTGGCAATGGATTTATGATCAACAGAAGACAAAATGAAAATAGTGAAAATGAAGCTGTTTTTGAAAAATGTGTTCTATCGAATCATTGTGTGGTTCAATGTTGATTTTGAAACTTTTGACAGAAACAAAAGTCGAAACATCGAGTTTAAAAATGTTACTTATACTCAAAATGATAGAGAAAAATTTGGTAACAACATACCATCAAGTGTGACATCAATAGGAGAATATTGTTTCTGGGAATGCAGTAGTCTGACTAGTGTTACAATACCATCAACAGTGACATCAATTGGTAATTATTGTTTCAGTGAATGTATTAATTTAACCAGTGTTACAATACCACCAAGTATGAAATCATTTGGTAAATGTTGTTTCCATAGATGCAGTAATTTTAGTGATTTTATAATACCATCAAATGTCACATCAATTGGTAATAGTTGTTTCCATAGATGCAATAGTTTAAGTAGTGTTACAATACCATTGAGTGTCACATCAATTATTGATTGGTGTTTCTATGAATGTATTAGTCTCAGTAGTATTACAATACCACCAAGTGTCTCATCAATTGGTTATGGTTGTTTTTATGATTGCAGTAGTTTAAATAGTGTTACAATACCATCAAGTGTTACATCAATTGATGATGGTTGTTTCTGTAGATGCAGAAGTTTGAGCAGTGTTACAATACCATCAAGTGTGAAATATATTGGTGATAGTTGTTTCTGTGAATGTGGTAGTTTAAGTAGTATTACAATACCACCAAGTGTTACATCAATTAATGGCAGTTGTTTCTGTAGATGCAGAAGTTTGAGCAGTGTTACAATACCATCAAGTGTAAAATATATTAATGATTATTGTTTCTTTCAATGTATTGGTTTGAGTGATGTTACAATACCATCAAGTGTGACATCAACTGGTAAATATTGTTTCAATGGATGCAATAGTCTCAGCAGTGTTAACATACCATCAAGTGTGACATTGATTGGTGATTATTGTTTCTTTCAATGTATTGGTTTGAGTGATGTTACTATACCATCAAGTGTCACATCAATTGGAATTCAATGTTTCCCATCAAATACAATAGTTCATCAAAATTAATTTACTTGTTACTTTATTTAATGTTTATTATTGTTTTAATAAATTTAATTAAATTATAAATTGTAATATTATTATATTATTATTTATTAAAAATAAAAAAATAATTAAAAAAATCAAATTAAATTATTTAACAAAAATTGATTTAATCAATTTATTCAATTTAATCAATTTCGCAAAGTATACATGGAGGCTCCTAAAGCCGGCCCCCCTCCCCCACCCACCTCCTGGGAACAAAGATTACTTAAATGTAAGATTGTGTAAAATTGTGAGTATATACCACGTCATTAACAAATAATAATAATAAAAGTTAATATAATAGAATTAAGTGATATAAAGTCAAAAAATATTAGATATTAATTAATAAATAAAGGAAAAATATGTTATTGCAGAAATTTATTCAATTTTTTAAATAAGAAAATAAAAAACCATCATTTTCATACTACCATGACAGGGACTTCTTAGTGTTCTATAAATAGAATTGATAAATTTATTAAATAAATTATAAATAATTAAAATATATTATTAAATAAATAATTATGAAAGAATTAATAAATACAAAAATATCTTAATTAGAAAATATAATAAATAATTAGTTATATTATGTTTATAATTATAATATATAATTATTTTATAATTATTAATAATTATAAAAAATGATAAATTATAAATAATAGCTAATAAATAAGAAAGAAAGAATTTTATATTGAAATTTTTGAAAGGAAGTAAATTAAAAACCTTCATTTTGTACAGCCATGACAGGGACCCCTTAATGTTCTATAAATAGAATTCAATGAATAAGTTAATTAAATGGTTAAAGAATGTATTATATTATAAATAATGGATAAATATATTATTATTTCTAGTTAATAATTGAAAATAATAGAAAATATGAGTAAATTATCACAATTTTTATAAATATGATATATTAATTATATGACTATTTAATTTAATAAAAATGTCAAATAGTATTAGAAAATTTTTAGAAAGTAAATGTATAAAATATTTCTATAATTTTGAAGAAATGTTAATAAAATGTTTTCAATTTTGTACAGCCATGACAAAACCCCCAAGTTTTCTATAAATAGAATTTAATAAGATAATTTATTAAAAATGATAATTCAAGCAATCAAATATTTCCAATAAAAAGTTAAGGAGTTGCTTTATGCAAGGAAATTTTCACCTTTTAAAGAGTTCTACAACAAAGCTAATTTGACTGTTGTTATGTTGTAAATGTTTCAAAAGTCGAGATAGTTTTATATTTGATTAATGAGTGTACAAGATATAAAATTATACTGAAAAATCCATTAAAGAACAAATTGGTGAACTAAAAGTGTTTTTGATATGGCAGAAGCTATTGAAAATACTCAACTTAAGCTCAAAAAACAAAAAGTTAATGTTTGATCAAGTACAATTGATTGTGTTGGATCACTACGTTGGCAACTCGATTTATAATGATGTTTCCAAAAATTCCTTTGTGTATTTAAATTGATAAATTATAATGAAATCAATTTAATTATTAAAGTTAGTTATTTAAATTAAATTTGAAAAAAACAAAATACCGAGACATCAGAACAATTATCCTCAACAAACTATCACTTTAAAAAACTTGTATATTCAAATGAGTGATTTTAAATCTTTAAATGAATCTTTCAAAAAGATATTAATAGGGAGAATAAAACTTATATTGCAAATATTTTAATTTGTTTTATTACGAAACAAACAACAGATATTATATTATTTTTATTAGTAGTACAATACAAAAACAAAACATTATTGTTGAAAAGTTGAGCTTATATGTTTTTAAAGTGGTCCAATTAATATATAAAAAAGTTGGCAATACAAAGTAGACTTTTGGAAAATTCCTTAACGTTGTTATTTAAGTTGTTGTAAACTAGTCTATGTTGGAGAGATAATTACAAACCTTCCAAAACACCTTAAGATGGCTGACGGTTTCATTTAATACATGAAGTTGAAGTAGTTAATGTATTCATTTTACTTTGTATTTTAAAAAAATATTCTATGATAACCACACACTTACAAGTGTCAATTAACATGTTTTTATTTTACAAATCTTTGTGTGTATTTAGTTAAAGTCGTCTGCTTACCATGTTATAATATATATATATATATATATATATATATATATATATATATATATTGGCTTTCATTGGTAATTAGCATCTAAAAGTATTTTTCTATATGAGTAAAATATAATTCAAGTGACATAATCAGATCAATGTAAACTTCTTAAAACATCATTGTTCTTCACTAACAACATTGGAGAGGATTCTGGGCATTTGGTTAAGCAATCACTTTTACTTAGAATTGAATTGATCCGAGTTGCCGTTATATGGCACAAGTCTTATCACTAGAAGAGGAAACAAAGTTTTGTATTAACCACAACTTCGACGTGATGTTATTGGTATCACAACCACCTTAAGAATATTTTAAAAAAAGTCGTGGAACAGAATGATAAGTCCCCTTCAATTGTATAAAAATAATTAAAATGAATACTATTTTCTTTTTGCTTTTAAACGAAGAATGAGATGGTGATAAACAATGACATTGTGATCAAAGATGCAAAATAAACAAATTTAAAATCTACAAACAAAGTAATCAATTCAGTTTCCATCTTAGAGTTTCTACCATTTTCCATTATAACAATGGAATTATGATATTCAAAAGTTGTAGTACACAAGACGTACAAAGCAGAATACATAAACAGCATTACACAAATTAAAAATTTTTACACGGTCTTCAACATCATCACTTCAAAACAACATCCACACAAGTTAACAATTGTCAGGTCAAGTAAAGTCAAGTATATATTATGTTTCAAATGCACGAATATTTGAAACAATACAAAAAGTTGTATTTTTTGACTTGTTGACATTTTGTTAGTCATCAAATTTGTGGGCACCAACACACCGTTTGGATATTCCATGTTATCGAGGTATTCCATTGAGATCAATGAAAATTTTGATACAATGCCATTGTCTGACACACAACATTTGTCAATTAATGAGTGTGGAGATATTTGAATAACAATATTACCATTTATAATGGCATTTTATTTTGATGATAGAATGGACTTACAGATAGTCGAAATATTAGAAATATTTTGAGAGTTTTTTGAAATGAATTTGGTATCATTTTGAGGCTCGAGAATGTTTCTACAAGTGTGAAAAATAAACTACAAACAAATTTCAGACAAATTGTTGCGCTAATGTCAATGGTTGAAAACATTTTGGAAGTTGAATACTGATATTCACAAAGTCTAATGTAACAATAACCAACATGTTGTTGTTGGTATTAAATATTTCGAATATTTTGGAGTATCGATATAATTCGTAAAGTTCACCAAGTTAACACAGTTTTGTTTGATAAAGAGTGTGATGTATTCAATGAAATGAAAAAACATTAATAATTTAATGTGAGTGTGTTATAGAGGACTTACAAATAAACTCTACATTATACAGTGTTAACTTTGTGTATAATTTATTTTTAATTGGAATAGCTTTGATATTTTAAATTGTATTTCTATTTTTTACTTAAATTGTATTTTTAGTAATTTAAATAAATTTAAATTAATAAACAATGTTTTTATTAATAACTATCCTAAATTATGACAATGTTTTTTTCACATACTAACACCACGTTTTAATTGTAGTCCTAATTTACCAATTTTTAATATTTTCATCAGTGGTTTTAAAGTTCTCATACGACACCAACACAATATTAAGAATGTATTATAGCGAATAAACAAATGGATTTGAATACCGCCCAATGAAATATAGAGTTTGATAATAAATAAGAATGGGCACTTGGAAAAATATGGCAAACAAATCAAGTGGTATTTTTTGAATAAAAAACAAGAAAACACTTCAATTTCATTATATTATTTTCTGATTGATATAACATTAAAATGGTTCATTTGTTATAAATTTATAATTTTTCAAACCATACTATAAAATCAAATTACCAATCTTGTTTAATCAAATTGATTTTGTTTATTCACTCTGCTGTGTCTTATTCATTGCCATAATTGTCTCGGCCAAAGAATACATCGACGTATTTACCGTATTTTAGCTAGTTTCACAAAAATCTCAAATTTGGTATACCGCTTGTATCATTCTGTTGGTGTTCTAATGCAACAAGTTATTAACCTTTTCAGCAAAGGATTTAAAAAGAGCTATATTCGATTATCTAAATAAATTAATATATTTGTGTTTTATTATTATTGTTTCACAAAAACAAATATTTTATTGTTTTATAATAATAAATCAGTCGGGTCTATATATTCGTTTTTTAATAATATATTTATGATTAATAAAACAATTTTAAGTTGTTTGTTTGAAAACTGGGTTTCAAAAGTCTGTACTGGGGTGTCCCGAATTTTTGCATTTATTTTGTTTAATATTTTTGGGAATCGTTTTTTGTAATAAATTCGCTTATTTTTTCCAAGTAAAAAAAAAGAAAAACGGTCTTCAAAAAATATTTTTTACTTGAAGAATTTTTAAGCATTAAAAAAATCCACATAAAATTTGAAATAACGGGATTTTTGTTTCAGAAATACACGTGATTTATCCCAAAAGTGCATTTTAGTACAAAAGCAAATAAACTTAATGTCAATCTTTTTCATTATCAAACATTTTATTAATTTATGAAATATTTACAAAACAGAAGCTTAGTTCGAAAATTAGTATGCTTAATAGTGTTGTCACAATAACAATAAAATTATCAAAATGATTTGATAACTTATCTTTGTTGGGTTTTATAAAGTCGACATTCTTTGAGCATTTCAGTGAGAACATCATTTTTAAATTATCCAATAACAAAACAATATTGTTATTTTGTATTATTTTTCTAGTGTTGTTCTTTGACAATTTGACTTGTGTCTGTCAAAATTATCAAACATTTGCTGTAATTTTTTTAGTGTTTTTGGAACTCTTTATTTCATTATTTTTTTATTCAGAGAAGAAAACCACAATTTGTTTTTAATAGAAAATGAAAAATTAACGAGAGTAATTATTAGTTAAAACTCGACACAAACAACACCATACAAATTCACTTAAACGTTCATTGTTGTGCTTTTATGCCAACAGTACTGAATATATGTTGCGAAGTATCGAGTTGAGGTCAAATCAAATAACGGGATCGGGTTTTTTGGAAAAGGCTGGCTAATATTCCAACATTTTCTCGAATTTGTACGAAAATAATTGAATGGAATTGGTATTTTTTCTAAAATTAAATCTGACTTTCGATTTTTTGTTTTTTGTTTTTTAGGAAAAATCA